TTTATTTATTTATTTATTTTATATTCCTTTATTAATTTCAGAGAGGAAGGGAGAAGGAGAGAGAGACAGAAACATCAATGATGAGAGAAAATCATTAATTGGCTGCCTCCTGCACACCCTCTACTGGGGATCAAGCCTGCAACCCAGCCATGTGCCCTTGGCCGGAATAGAACCTGGGACCCCTCAGTCTGCAGGCTGACTCTATCCACTGAGCCAAACCGGCCAGGGCTATTTATTTATTTATTTATTTATTTATTTTTAATATATTTTATTGATTTCTTTACGAAGAGGAAGGGAGAGTATAGAGAGCTAGAAACATTGATGAGAGAGAAACATCGATCAACTGCTTCCTGCACACCCCCAACTAGGAATGTGTTCGCAACTGAAGTACATGTCCTTGAATGGAATCGAACCTGGGACCCTTCAGTCCGCAGGCCAACGTTCTATCCACTGAGCCAAACCGATCAGGGCTAGATGCTTGCTTTCTATATGAACTCCATGCCTGGGGAAACTTTTGAAATGTCGAGTAACAAATGATGTTTGGAGGGATACCAACGGGCTTAACCCAGAGTCAGGGACCGCCCCCCCCCTCCCATTGGTTCACATACATGGATAGTCTCAGAGGGCCGTGTAGTCCAGCTGGCGTTTCTGTTTTGCCCGTTGCCCTGCGTGTGCTCCTGTGGGGTGTTGCTCCCCGAGGACCAGGCCTGGGCCCTAGTCCAGCGGATCTCCTGGAGCCTGAAAGGAATGCTGGTCACAACGAGCTGCAGGCACACGGTGGCACAGTTAGACTCCTGGTGGCCTCTCCAGTTCCCGAGGAATGAGGGTCCCCACCCAGCCTCCTGCTGTGTCCCCCGGGGCCCAGAGTCCAGTGTCACAGGGCAGTCTCTGCTCAACAACTGGTGTCCGAGGACGATCCAGACACCCAAACTCGGGAACTTGAACCCCCTGGGGGTGTGGGCAGGAGTACACAGGCAGCGCTCAGAGTGTTGACACTCGGCAGGAACGGGGTGAGGAGGTGGGGAGGGGTGGGGAGGGCTGCGTCAGAGATTCGAGGGCAGTGGACGAAGTCCGAGAATGCGGGACACGGGTCACAGGGCTGGGGAGGGGACTGGAGGCCTCTCGCCCCAGTGGGGCTGGTGCCGGTGCTGGTGCTGAGAGCAGGGGAGGTCAGCTGGGAAAAGAGGAGGGCGGACGACATGGAGTCCTCCATTTTCAGGGAAGCTCCAAAAATTAAAGGATCTGCCCTGAGAGTCCGCTGGCCTGTGCGGGTGCTCACTCCGTGTCTGCTGGGTGAGTGGTGGGTGGGTCTGGTAAGCTGGGCCCCTGCCAGCCCCTCCCCTGCTGGGCATTGCTTCAGCTGCCTGGCCGGGAATCTGGAACAGAGGAGCCATGAATGACCCTGCCTCTCCGGCCCGCAGCCCTGGGAGCTGTGCCTGGACAACAAAGCCAGGCCTGGGGTGGGGCCCAGATCAGGCCTCCCCTAGACGTTGAACTGTGTCCCCAACAAGACGTGAGGTCCTGGCCTCCCACTGTGGCCTGGTTTGGAAATGGGGCTGCTGCAGACGGAACTGGGGAAGACGAGGTCCCGCTGGGGCAGGGCGGGCCCTGATCAGGTGACCGGTGTCCTCATGGGGAGGCCCAGGGATGGCACAGACCAGGGGGCAGCCACGTGGTGATGTAGCCGGAGATGGGGTGAGGCACAGCCAGCGACATCGGGAGACACCAGAAACCAAGAGGCAGGAAGGAGCCCCCGCACCCCCCAGGAGCAGGCCCTCCCCTCCTGGATGCTCTCAGGAAGCTGCTCCAGGCGCCGGGCCTCCAGGGTGAGGGTCAGCTCGCTGGCTTTCAGCCGCCCAGTGTCCCTGGAACCTCGGGTAACTAGTCATGCAAGTGACTTCCTTGCAGATCCTGACCTCGCCCCCAGCCCCAGACATCCCTGGAAACAGAGAAGCACTGAAAAAGCAGATCTGTAACCCTATCCTTTTATTTTATTTTTATTTTTTATTTTTTAATAACTTCAGGGTTTGTTTTTTTTTAAATATATTTTTATTGATTTCAGAAAGGAAGGAAGAGAGAGAGAGAGAAACATCAATGATGAGAGAGAACCATTGATCAGCTGCCTCCTGCATGCCCCCTACTGGGGATCGAACCCGCAACCTGAATCAAATCTGGGACTCTTCAGTCTGCAGGCCAACACTCTATCCACTGAGCCAAACCAGCTGGTGCTAATCCTGTCCTTTTAGCTCAAGGCCACGAGAACCAAAACAGTAAACTGCCCAGCTGGCCGGTGTGGCTCAGTGGTTGAGGGTCAACCTATGAACCAGGAGGTTGCAGTTGGATTCCTGGTCAGGGCACATGCCTGGGTTGTGGGCATGCAGGAGGCAGCCAATCAATGATTCTCTCTCAATATTGCTGTTTCCACCTCTCTCTCCCTCTCCCTTCTTCTCTCTGAAATCAATGAAAAACACATTTATTTTTTTTATTATTATTATTTTTAATCAATCTTTATTGTTCATATTATTACAAAGGTTCCTCATTTCTTCCCCCCTCCACCAGGTTCCCACCCCACCCTCTGCCCCCTCCCCATCCCCCATTGTCCTCATCCATAGGTGCAGTTTATGTTCAGTCTCTTCTTCCCTCAATTTCCCTGATAGTAAATCCCTTTTCAGATAGTAAATCAGTTACTTAGCATTTTCTCATATCAATAATACCTCCACATGCCCAATGATACACTTCACACAAAAGACATTTCCCAATAGGTCCACCAGCCTCATCTAGGCCCCACCCAAGGCACTCACAGATCAACACCCCAGCCCTATACTAACTCAACACATCCAGATCTAAGCCTTCATCACTTGATTCAGCAGACCCTCAAGTTCCCACGAAAGTTTCCAGCCATGTCTGAGAGGCAGCCATGGGGCAGGGGCAGGTGAGGAGTGAGCTGTTCCGGGCCTGGCAGCTCAGGGCCTGGCCTCTGTTGCTCTGGTTCGTTCCACAACCAGCTGCTCCGGGTCTGGTCTCTGCCGCTCCCGACCTAGTTGCTCTGGACTTGGCTGCTGCTGCTCCGGGCCTGGCCGCACCCGACCCGCCTGCTCCCCCGGGCCTGGCCACTCCCAGCCTGGCAGCCGCTGCTCCGGGCCTGGCCGCACCCGACCCGCCTGCTCCCCCGGGCCTGGCCGCTCCCAGCCTGGCAGCCGCTGCTCCGGGCCTGGCCGCACCCGACCCGCCTGCTCCCCCGGGCCTGGCCGCTCCCAGCCTGGCAGCCGCTGCTCCGGGCCTGGCCGCACCTGACCCGCCTGCTCCCCCGGGCCTGGCCGCTCCCAGCCTGGCAGCCGCTGCTCCGGGCCTGGCCGCACCTGACCCGGCTGCTCCCCCGGGCCTGGCTGCTCCCAGCCTGGCAGCCGCTGCTCCGGGCCTGGCCGCACCTGACCCGGCTGCTCTGGGCCCGGCTGTCCCGGGCCCGGCCGCTCCGAGCCTGGCCACTCCCGACCTGGATGCTCTGGGCTTGGCTACTGCTGTTTTGGGTCTGGCTGCTCCCACCCTGGCTGCTCTGGGCCCGGCTTCTCCGGGCCCGGCCACTCCGGGTCTGGGTGTTCCTGGACTGGCCACCCTGGGCTTGGCCGCCTCCGCCTCATGCCTGGCTGCCACTGCCCCAGGTCTGGCTACTCCAGTGCTGGCTGTTGATGCTCTGGTTCTGGCTGCTGTTGTTCTGGTGCCTGGCCGTTGCTGCTCCGGGTCTGGCTGCCACTGCCTTGTGCCTGGCCACTCTAGGCCTGGCCACCGCTGTTCCAACATTCTGTCCTTTTTTTTTTTCTTTTTTCTTTTAAAAACGCATTTATGTTGCAATGTTGGCTGGTGAGTTGAGTTCTGACTAGTCTTTGATTTTTCAAGATCTTCTTCGTATTCTTTCTTAAGTAATTTTACTATTTTTTTGCTCTCACTTGATTTCTTCACATTGAGAACTTCTTTGGTTTCTTCCTCCTTGTCCTGGGAGCTCAGCAGGTTGGCCTGTGGCACCCCTTTGTTCTCCGCGGGCTCCTGCGCTGCTTCAGCCTGTTGCCAGGGACGGCGCCCCCCAGGAAGCAGCCCCCGGCCTTGGCTCCATTGCCCGAGCTCAGTGGTCAAAGGCTCAGGGGCACCCACGCCCCCAGGGGTCCCGAGCCCGCCTCCTTGCTGGTGCCCGGTTGGCTGGAGTCCGACAGGGGCTTCCGCTCCCCTCCGTGTTCCCCCAGCCTAGAGCTTTTTTTTTTTTCTCCTTCCCGCTAGAGAAATCCAGCATCAGAGTCAACAGACTGTCCTCTGCGCGCAGTTTGCGCGAGTCCCACAGACTGTCCTCTGCGCGCAGTTTGCGCGAGTCCCGGGGGCCCGGCCTTTCGCGCTCTCCCCAGACTCCACCTCACAACCCCGTCTCCCTCTGCCTGAGCCTGGGTCCCCAGGGATTGGCCCAGAACTGGGGTTCGGAGCAGTCCGGACTGAGGCCCAGCGCCGCCGGAGGCCTTGTTTCTTCCGGCTAGGGCAACCCAGCCTCAGAGTCAACATTCAGTCCTCTGCGCGCATTGCGCGTGACTCCCGGGGCCCTGCTTTTCGCTGTTTTTCCGCCTCACGGCCCTGTCTCCTCCCGCGGGAGCCTGGGTCCCCAGGGTCTGGCTCATAACTGGGGCTCAGCGCTGCCGGGTTCGGGGGTGTTCAGCACTGCCGGTTCGGGGGTTCAGCCCAGGCTGGGGGTTTTATTTCCTTCCTGCTAGGGAAGGAAAGGCGGCTCCCCGCCCTCTCCTCCTCTCCGGCTGCGACCTCTCCGTGCGCGCGTGCGGGCGGGCGCGCAGCATGTCTCCGTACCTTAGGCTTTTTTTCAGCTCCTCTGATTTTCTTTCTGGTTTTCTCTTTCCTTCTTGTTGTAGAAATTTCAGTCAGTCGACTACCTGTAGCTCTGGGCAATGTCCACTCTACATTTTAGTTGTATTCCATTGAAATTGTTGTGTGCTGCCGCGGCTAGATGTCTACCCGAGCAGCCATCTTGGATCCTCATAAAATCTCTTCTTCCAGTTTCTATGCAATTTAGATTTTGAATGCAATCTGATCTCGGGGCTCCGGGAGCGCTCCCCACCCGCCCAGCACGTGGCCTCGAAGTCCAGGACCATCAGGTAGGCGAAGGGCTGCTCGCGTCTGCCGCCCGCCGTCCCGCCCGCAGCGCCCCGGGCCCGGGTCCGGATCAGCCCGAGCCGCCTGGGGGGATGGGCACCGGTGACCCTCCTGCCCGCGGCCCCCGCCCCGGAGCCACCCGCGCCCCCAGCTCCCCGCCCCGCCCTCCGCGTACCGCGCCAGGCTCCTGGTCGCCATCGAAAAACACATTTAAAACAAAAATATAAACAACAGAGTAAACTTGAAGCAGCTGAGGAAATAGGAAGCCGGTGGTATAGACACAAACAAGTTTCTAGAAGAACCCACTTGTGGATACCTTCCTTCTTGATTTGGCGACGGGCTCCTGGGGGCCCTCCTGGTGGGTGGCCTTGGGCCTCGGGTGGGCCTGGCCCTGTGGACTTGGCTCCGTTCTGTCCTTGCATCTCCCTGCAGCCCAGAGCTCCCGCTTCCAGCTTCAGTGGGGGAAGGGGGACGGGGGACCACGCTTTCTCCTTCCTGAGGCCTCACCTCTGTCTGCACCGGGGCCACCGCTTTCCTTGGGTACCTTGGCACCCCGTCTGAGCCAGGCCACTGCCCTCGGCCCCGGGACTTCTCAGGTGGGCCTGGCCCTGAAGCACAAAGCTGGGGCCTGGCTGGGCCACCTGTGTCCTGTCAGAATTGTCCTTGGCCTTGAGGTGAACGTGCTGCTGGGCCCGTTACTGTGAGGACGGCTGGGGCCAAAGAGGTGGGGCAGGCCCCTCGGAGGCCTCCCAAGAGACCAGGCGCCTCCACCAGGCACCGTGCCCCAGCCCAGGGGACACCCTGGCTGGGGGGCCTTGACCTGTGGATGCTGGCCTCTTCCTTCCTGAAAAAGAGCCCCAGGAGGAATATGCAACGCAACCCCCAAGGGTTGTAATTTATCTGACGCAGAGCCAAGGACCGTGATGAACTTGGATGTGCTCCCAGCTGGGCTGCTCAAGCCATCCTGGTGCCCGACACTTTGTGTGTGGATTCGTGGACACGTGCCCCGGTCGCCACCTTGAGTTGACATCCTTGTCACAGCTCCTGGCTTGGGTGGTAGGCGGACAGCCATGGCCACTGAGTGTCTCACTAAGGATCAGCTTGGGCGGCAGGACTCTGTCTACGGCTAATGGGGGGGGGGCAGTGTGGGCTGGCACAGAGTCTGGGGGCCACCGTATTCCATAGCGTATAGAAACCCTGCCCCGACTCCCAGTTTTATCCTTCCTAATTCAAAACTGTAACAGAGGGTGGTCAGTTCGTTCAGCTGGTCCATAAGCAGCACAGCGGGAGGCTCCCTGAGTCGTGTTTCCACAAGATTACAATTCCCAGGCAGCCATGCCAAGGCAGCCTCCCGCTGGAATTAGGACAAAGGAGCGCCACTGGCTCCATCTCCTTCCACATTAACGCGAAGGGAGCACAAAAGCCTGTAGCCGTTTGAAACACATCAGCTCCTCACAGCAACGAGACAGCCAGGATGCTTCTCTATTCACAGGAACGGAGGTGCTGGTTGTAACTTCCCCATGGGTTCTGGAAGGAGGGCGAGCCGCGGCCTGTCTGGGTGTGAGCTGCAGAGAGGGCAGTTAGCTGGGTGTCAGTCATCTGTAGCTGTGGGACCATGCGCCTCAGTGGCTTCAAATCACCATCTATTCAGCTCTTGTTGCTGGGGGCTGGCAGTTAGTGAGGGCTCAGCTGAGTGGTTCTTCTGCCGGGTTTGCCAGCACCTGAAGCCAGCTGGTGCCCTGGCCTCACTCTCGGGACTGGCGGTTGGCTAGGTGATGGGTGACTGGCTGTGTTACTCTTAGCACCCACCAGCTTGCCGTTCATATGGTGGGACCCCAGTCTTGCCAAGAACATCAAGGCAATGAGCCCATAGGCAAGACCTTTTATAAAACCACTCATTTGTTTTAATCATTTATAACATAGATGTATCATTTTGACCACTTTTTAAAAATATATACATATTTTTAATTGATTTCAGAGAGGAAGAGAGAGAAACATCAATCCTGTGAGTGAATTATTGATTGGCTGCCTTTTGCAGGCCCCATACTGAGGATTGTGCCCACAACCCAGGCATGTGCCCTTGACCAGAATCGAACCCTGGACCCTTCAGTCTCCAGGCTGACGCTCTATCCACGGAGCCAAACCGGCTAGGGCTCATTCTGACCACTTTTTGTTGTTGCTTTTGTTTTGTTAATCTTTACCCGAGGATATTTTTTCCACTGAGTTTTAGAGAGAGTGGAAGGGAGTGTGTGTGTGTGTGTGTGTGTGTGTGAGAGAGAGAGAGAGAGAGAGAGAGAGAGAGAGAGAGAGAGAGAGAGAGAGAGACATCCCCCATCAGCATGTGCCCTGACCAGGAATCGAACCAGCAACCTTTTCAGTGCACAGGACAATGCTCCAACAACTGAGCCATACTGGCCATGGCAGGATCAGGAATTTGTGTGTGTGTGTGTGTGTGTGTGTGTGTGTGTGTGTGTAACGATATGAACAATGATGTTTGGAAACTGGCCAGATGAGAACTGAAACTGAAAGGAAAGGCCCAGGTGTTCCCCTCTCCTAAGTGTTTCCAAGAAGTGACACTGAGCTTGAAACAACTCTTCTGCTGCCATTCTGAGTATTTGGATTTTATATATTTTACTAGTGGCCCGGTGCACAAGTTTTGTGCACATTAAAGGGGAAATTAACACATTAAGCGCCCTGTCAGTCACCGGTGACTGACACTATACCTTTTGTCAGAAGACAAAACAGTCTAAGCACTTAAAGTATTAATTAGAGGAAATATTTAAATATTGCTATTTGACCTTTCTCTGTAATAGAAGGGTCAGAGATGAAAGAAAATTAGTAAAATGTATATGACAATCTCCCTCCTGTCAGAGTCTGGGTTGTGCCGTGGGACCCAGAGTAAGTGCCTGCCCACCTGTGTGTACCTCGAAATCATCCGAGACCCAGACCTGGCTGGCCCCACCCCCGTCAAGCCCGGCAGGGTGGGGGGGCAGTCCCCCGGCCCAGCCTCAGGTCCCCCAGCCCTGTCATGAGGGCAGGAGGGCACAACAGCGTGACGACCTTTTGCATATTAGCTCTTTATTCTATAGGATTCCCAGTCAAATCAAATCAGGATCTGTGCCCATGCCTACATCTTATGCCTGGGGCATTTAATAGCCTCTCCAAAAGCTACTGAGCCACTCCTCCCCTTCATACGAACCCACTGGGTTGTATTTTTTTTCTGGAAGCATTTCCTTGATTCCACTAGAAATAATCCCCAGTAACTTCTTTTCCCATTTCTTGGGAATCAAATGGTGTAGTGGGCCTGCGGATGGGCTAGCCCAGTGGTCAGCAAACCGTGGCTCGCGAGCCACATGCGGCTCTTTGGCCCCTTGAGTGTGGCCCTTTCACAAAATACCACGTGTGGGCACGCACGGACAGTGCGATTGAAACTTCACGGCCCATGCCCAGAAGCCAGTTTTCAGCCTGGGCGAGCCTATTTTGAAGAAGTGGTGTTAGAACACTCAAGGGGCCAAAGAGCCGCATGTGGCTCGCCAGCCACGGTTTGCCAACCACTGGGCTAGCCTTTTCCCGCATGTGTTAGCGATACCACGTCTGAACAGGTGAATTTTTAGAAACAGCATGATTTTTTTTGTTACTCCCAGAGAATAGTTGAAAAAGAATTTGCGCCGAGACCGGTTTGGCTCAGTGGATAGAGCGTCGGCTTGGGGACTGAAGGGTCCCGGGTTTGATTCTGGTCAAGGGCATGTATCTTGGTTGCGGGCATATCCCCAGTAGGGGGTGTGCAAGAGGCAGCTGATCGATGACTTTCATCGATGTTTCTAACTCTCTATCTCTCTCCCTTCCTCTCTGTACAAAATCAATAAAATATATTTAAAAAAAAAAAAAAGAAAAAAGAAAAAGAAAAAGAATTTGCAAGAAGAAAAAGTTAAAAATTAAAAATTATGCACCCCACAGCCCTGTTCTGGCCTCCCTGTCTCTGCCATCAGCCTGTCTGCTGGCCCCGCTGCCCTGCTCTCTGCCATCCTCAGTTCTTCCGTGGGAATCACTCACTAGTCAAAGGCTGCTGCTGCTGGTCCAGGCTGCTGCTATCAGCTCAGGAGCTCTCTGAGGCAGGCCCTCAGTCCCTATAAAATGACAACTGCACACAGCGGTTACAACTGCAGAGGGGGCTCTGACCTGTCCTCACAGCCATGCAAGGGAGGGTCCAGGTTCAGGCCAGGCTTTATCTCTGCTTCCCATGTGCTGAGTTTCTGCCCCCCTCCCCTCCACCTGTCTGTTCTCCGAGCAGCACTGGCTTCTCCTGCCCTTGGGACTTTGACTTTGACCTATAGGCTGGTCAGGCCAGGCTTCTCTCTAGTGCCCCTTCTGCATGGCACTTTTGTAGTTTCAGCTGATGTGGCTGAAAGAGATTTCTCATCAACCACCTCGAGAGCGGGCTCTCAGGGTGTCCTGGGGGCCTCCCATCTCCACCGCAAAAATCCCTTTTCTTCTTTTCGCCCTTGTAGAAGCCCCTGCGTTAAACAATCTGTCTCCTGAAAATTGCATTTGTCACTGCTTTAGTCAAAAGCACACAACACCTATCTACCGGTATTTGAGATTAGTGACAACTTATAAAATTCCAGCAAAGTTATTTTCTTTAGCGATGGGATATTTTTACATCTTGGAGAAATGTCAAGTTCGCCTTAGATTGTTAAAAATGTCGGAAGTAGCCCCAGAGCTGTGACTTTCTTGGCCTATTCTTGGAGCTCAGGGAAAACTCCAGTGGGAACTTCCTTGCTTCACAGAAAAGGAAACCAAGACCCAAGGGAGAATGACCTTGTCCAAGGTCACCGGCCAGCTGGCTCTAAGTCCCCTGGGCGGTTGTACTGGGCACAGGTCTGTGTCCAGCAGCCCTGGAAGACTCCTCTGATTGTCCACCAGCCAGTAGTCCTCCCCCAGGACCCGCCCAGAGCCCATGCCATTGGCCATGCCCCTAAATGTGCTGTGACAGGCAGGCAAGTTCTCCAATGAGAGTCTCAGAGGTGGGCACCTGCCTGCCATTTGACCTTAGGATCACCTCTGGGGCTCTGGCTTACTTATCAGTAAAATCGGATCCCTGCAAATTTGTCCTAAGAATTAGAAGTCACGAACCAGGGGTGCCCCCTCTCCCCAAAGGCCCAGTCACACTCACAGGGGGCCCTTCAATGTCGTTTTCC